CCTGAGCCTCTCCATTACGGGCCTCTCTATTGGTGCAATTCGAACTCGGCCTGAGTTGATTGGGAAGACGACTCGCAGGCTATTTTTAGCAGGGTATAAATGGCGAGGGCTACGAGGCGCCGAAGGAGTCGGCGCTGGGAGGTGCACGGCCGAACGCCGCAAATGTGCGGCCGGAGAATGTGCGGCCGGAGCTGGAGGAACCTGGCCGGGGCAATCCAGCACCTGTCCCCGCCGCCCAGCCGCCCGGTTCCACCTTCTGATCCCGTCACCCGGACCGGGACCCAGCAAAACAAGGGAGCTGATATCTGCCCGGTCCCCTTATTTCACTTCATCCGTCCCTCTGTGCTCGATGCCGGTGTCCCCTGATCCTTCCCTCACCCTCCATTCTGCTTGGTCCCCTGATTTCTCTCTTTGTCCGGAATCCTCTCCATACTCAGAGATACTGAGGTGGCCGGAGTGGGCGCAAACAGGCCCGCGGATCCCTGTGTAGTGATGGGACCGTAGGAACAAACAGCAGGGGAACTTGGTGCACTAGAGTCCCTGTATGGTAATTTCTGTCTGGATCCCTGGGAGGGGGCTGAAGGGATCCCGAGACTCGCTCGTTCTCCAAAATAACCCACACTTGGGAGCACCCAGAAAGAGCCTTACCTGACCCGTGGGTTAGTTACACTCAGATTCTCTGGAATGAATTTTATCTATTGGAAGTTGTAAGCGCAGCTTTTAAGATAGCACCCCAAACAACCCGATTGGGCTTTAGCAAGCTCACACGGATGACCTGGCACCACCCCAAGTTGGATTGCTAGGCATCTCCAGCTTAAAAATGCCCTTGCGCTTGATGCACGGCTCTCATTCTAATATGATACAGATTCTGCTGTATATGGGGTAGAAATCTGTTTATCTTGCGGAAGGCAGGCTCCAAGATGCCTCACCAGGTTAGCAGGCTTTCCCGAGGATGTGTAAACAATTTAAATTAAGCTGAAGCTGACATTAATTTCTGTTCATATAAATTGTCTCCTAAAGCACACCATGATGTTCATTTAAAAAATGAAGACTGAGCAACTATATTTTTGAGTAAAACAACAACAACAGCAAAAACCAATTATGACAACTTCAAAAGTAATACTTAATGAATAGTATCCTTTTAAACATAAACTATGTAAAATAATTTTAGAAGATTTTTCGTATTTAATTTTAGAAGTCTAAACAGATGCATGTACCAGAACTGTAAGCTTATAAGGTTCTTAGGTGGGCATACTTAATGAGTGCTAAGTTGGGAAAAGCTATCTTTCCAAAAAAAGAAGAAGAATGCGTATTGTTTGGAATACATGAAGGTGACCATTGGCCTTCATTCATCCCATTTACCCTAGTGACAAAGAGGCAAACCTGTCCCTCTCTGAGTTATGTGTTTATATTTTGTTTCCAGGAAGGGAATGGAAATGGCTTTAGGACACACATACATAGGGTGAACTAACTTCCCAGCGAAGCCCTTATATGGACCTAGAGCTTTATAATTAGTAGCAAGCTTATGCCTTTGGAATTAACAAAGGAAGCAAGAATCAGATCAAATCTATGAATGAAAGCCAACATGACAGTACACATGGTAAAGGATGAGGTGAAAGTATATGACACTAAGTGAAGGCCTTAATAAAGCATGGAGGAGTCTGTAATTCCTTAGGGGTGTCATAATGAAGATATTGAAACTTCCCTTGCTGGATAGAGAATTAGTCATCATTTTCACACAGTCCCTTACATTCCTATAGAATGCCAAAATTTCTCCTTGTCTCTTACAAGCACTGCCAGTTAAATAGAAGATTTGCATAGTTTATTTTTACAAGACTGGATTTAATTGGACATTAATAGAGATACAATCAAAACTGTGACTTTCAGAAAAAAATTAGTGTAAAAGTAGAGTACATTCATCCCCTGAATGAATTCCAAGTAGAATAAACTGTGTGACTTCCTGCTGCTCCCATTAGGCATTCAGCACATATTATTCACATCCTGTGACTGGCCAGGTACACATAGATTTACAAAGCAGGCAAAAGTCCATGTCATAGTTGGGGTAAGGGGCAGGGCTCCAAAGACGTTTGAATGCTTGTATTCCTGAGCATTTAACTATTGATGGGAAAACAGTTTTGGCTTCGTATGCAAGAAGGACTATCCATGTGATCCGAGTATTACAAATGATGTCTGATTTTTTTTGTGGGGGGCGGGGTTTCGAGAAAGGGTTTCTCTGTGGCTTTGGAGGCTGTCCTGGATCTAGCTCTTGTAGACCAGGCTGGTCTCGAACTCACAGAGATCTGCCTGCCTCTGCCTCCAGGGTGCTGGGATTAAAGGTGTGAGCCACCAACACCAGGGCCAATGATGTCTGATTTTTAAACTGCCTAACAGAAACACATAGGTCAGAGGCATTCAGATGGGGAAGTATGGATGGAAGAAAAGCATGACTTTAAACTATCCATAAATTTGGCCTTGGCCAGTATATCTGAAGAGAAAAAAAGTTCATCTGGTCTGATGAAAATATCCATAGAATCTCAGCTGTTTGAGAGACTGAGGCAAAAGAGCAAGGCTTGCCTGCTCTACAGAGTGAGTTCAAGGTTAGTCTGGGAAACTTGATGAGACTGTTTCAAAAGTCTTAAACAACTTTTGAAAACAGTAAGAAAGGGGCTGAGGATACACCAGTGGTAGAGTGCTTCTGGGAATCACAATGCCTACCATCCCCAAACCACTATACAAGCTGTGGCTGCCTATGTTTACTAGGGGGTCCCCAGTATCTGGTTTTGTGCTTCTTCTAGTGTATCTTTCTGTGCACATATTTCCAAATTCCTACATTCCTACTGTGGCTGGAGGCAGGGTGTAAGCAGGGAAGAGAGGAGGCTACTAGGGGCAGGAGGGTATGTCCTCAGATCTGACTTTAGGTCAACTCAGCATGAGGGCTCTGGGACTGGGGCCTTCTAAGCCTTCCTGTTCCTTCACCCAAATAACTGAGCTTTCTTGTATGTTCTAAAGGAATGATGGTGGTCATTGAACGTGAGTTTCTTCTTTTCTGATCAGGAAAGAAAACTGATGGCTGGATATAGGACTTGGGTTTAAGGGGGTGAAATCTTGACCTTCAACAGCCTTTGCTTCTTTTGAAAGAAGGTTCTGGGGATGTGACTGGATACCCTTGCAATCTACCAGCATGTTTACCCACCTCATGAACACTGGGAGTTGGTGGGGGACTGAGAGTCGGCATGTCAAAAATCATAATGTATTAAAACCCCCATTCTATATAAGCCATAAGTTGAAGGCAATATTAACTCATTGAACGTGCTCCATTTTCAACTTTGCTCTTGATATTTATGGCTGATGAGGCATTAAAATGATATCCACTGTGCAGATCACACAGCAGATAAGAAGCAAATTTGGGCCTGGGGCTATACAGTAACTCCAGTAAGAGCTCATTCTGTCAGGAGCTGAAGATCTCTACTCACCCCTACCCCCCATCTCTTACCCACCCCCCACCCCCCTATGCTGCCCAATCCTAATAAGTGGTGGACTCCTGGAGGATGATCCCTTTCTCACCCACCCTCATCTGGTTCTCTCTCCCACAAGCCAGTCTGTGTGGTGGCATAGTCCTAAATGCAGAGGGCTCAGCTTCCCTGGCACTCTGGGCTATTTCCTCACATGCCCACTGTGTCCATGCCCTTTTTCACTTTTGTTCTGTCTCTTATGCTTCCATGCAGAGCTCCTTCATTTCTCACCATGAAGTTCCCTTTGTTGCGTTTTGTAGCGAAACCAATGGTTTAAAATGAAGTTCATAAATAGACTGAGCTTTCAGTTCAGAGATCCGTAGATGGTAACTAGGTTTTGACTTTCTTGTTCACCTAGGAAATTCAAAGGGGGTCTTACAAGACTAGTCAAAGGTAATTGCAATACTACCCCCCTAATTATATGGGCAAAGACCATTCTCATGCATGGTTCAGAAGCCAGTTTTGTTTGTTTGGAGCATATTTAACAAGATATCCCCCTCTCCCACAGCAACTTGATTTGTGTTTGTTTCATTTGATTGTTTCCTTGAGTTGTTCTGTAAAAATCCCATCTTTAAAAGTACACGTGAGTTGTTGCATGATGGGTGTGTTGAGTTAAAATGTACCTCTTCATCTACTATCTCATTTCCAGATGGTTCTAGTCAAAAGCATGAGTTGCCTTCTCCCCATGCATTTCCCTCTCAAAAAATAATGAACTTTCCTTTGAAAATGAAAAACAAAACTTCACTTACTGAGTGATGTGTTAGGTAAAGTCTCACAAATATTCTATTTGTTGAAATTTAAACTTTCACTCTTTAAAATAACTGTCAGTACTGAGATAGCTAATGAAGGAAAGTGCCATACTAGTGGCTTCCAGTAAACATTCAACTTAATTTGTTACCATATGACAAGGACTGCAAGGGCTTGAGTATTGGCAGGGAAGTGTGTTTGGGAAGTGTGTTTGTGTGTATGTCTAGTGTGTGTGTGTGTGTGTGTGTGTGTGTGTGTGTGTGTGCATATGCAAATGTATAGATGTGTATAGGTGTATATGTGTTATGTGATTATGTTTGTATATCTGTCTGCATGTGTGTCTGCATATAATTATCTGTGTGTAAGTATTTATATACATATAAATATAATATTTGTTTTAGTAGCCTTCTTTGTAAAACCAATAATGAGATGAAACATTAAAACAACTCACTTCACAAGTGACTGCGGTTGCCTTTTTTTACTGCAGGGTCCTGGGTGCCTGGGTTTGTTTGTGCTGTTTTTCCAGTGTATGTCTAGCTCCCATTTCTCAATTCCTGCATTCCTACTGTGCCTGGAGACAGGGTGGGAAGCAGAAAAGAGAGCAGCCT